ACCCCTAAACCCTGAACCTTAAAACCTTAAACCCTAAACCCCTAAACCCCTAAACCCCTAAACCCTAAAGCCCTGTGCCTTTCCAGCAGATTAAGCCCATAGTTTTGGAATTCCGTCAGGTTCTCAGCAAGATCCTTGGAATGTCGCGACTCACATCCGATGAGATTCCAGGGCACCTAGGTTGCTAGCTGTTGAGAATTTGAAAGGGACTTAGGTACTGTTATGGGGACCACTTCCCCACATCATAATAGCTATTCCTAGTCCAAAAGCCCTATATTCTACGATCTAGGTACTTAGGATCCTTTATGTATGTAACCTAGGCATCCATAATTATATAACTGGAGCCCTATAGAGCGCTACATATTTTCGAAGTTGCCCTCGTCATGCCATGAGCCTGAAAGTGTTACAAGGCCGAGCATCGTAGATACCCCGCCCCGCGTGGCCATCGATGTATGTGAAAGGTTGGCTGTCCGCGGCGTAGTGCTGTAGCAGCCTCGGACAGAAAGCTTAGCCCCAACCTACCACAGTCCACACTTTGAGGGTTTGGGGTCCACAGTAAACACTCTGCGGGGTTAGAGTTTCAGGGTTGATCGCAATGCATGTCACGAGAAGGGTCCTACCAGATTATCCCATGTCCTGACCGTGCACTGGACCAAAAAGAAAGATTAAGGGGATACCACTGCTAATAATCACATGATGAACAGAGGCAGAAGTAGAACAAGCCCAAAGCCGAATGTCCCTCAATCCTAAACCCTAAACCACGAAGCTTAAACTCCAAACCCTGAGGCAACCCCGAACCCAAAACCCCGAGCTTTACCCAACCTGCAAGCCAACCTCAAAGATTAGGACCGGCGTCCTTTCTGGGCTTGGGATTTGGGTTCCATCTAGGGTTTAGGGTATAAGGCTGTGTCATCTATCTAGCAGTCTGAATGAGTAGCAATATCGGCCCCCTAGTAACCCGATACGCACTCATACTGTAATTGACCCCCAGAATCCTAGGTCTCCAGTTGCCCTACACCGTGTGACTGGGTTAGGGTTTAGGGTTTAGGGTTAGGGTTTAGGGTTTATTTGGGTTTAGGGCCCACATTATATGGTCCGGAAGCCCTTTCTGATTCTCCGGCTGCGTGTGGAAGCCATAGTTAGGAGAGCCTGAATTGCTGTACTAGAGCACTGGCCTCAATGATGTTCGACTAGCTCTGGGGGGGGGGGGGGGGGGGNNGGTATAGTAAAAAAAGTATGGTAGAAGTAAACTAGATGTATAGTAATACAATTATGGTAGAAGTATAGGCAGCATTGCGGAGTATTCAGGCCTCTTTAATCCATAGTACCCGGAAGCCTTCACAGCACCGCCGAGGGGCAGGAGCAAAAGGCTGTGCTTCAAGCAATCCATAATGCTCCCGGCCTTCGAGCCGTCAGATGGGGGGTAGGTTTGCACCAGCAAAACTTGGCGGGCCCTTGTGTGGTAGGCTGCAGCATTCCCAGTAGTATCAAGATCAGCGGACCTCTCATGTGGAAGGTAGAACAGCCGTCGAGCTGTCCCCTAATGCCTATAACAAGACTTTGATTATCCGCTTTGAGGATTTAGCGGCTTGGTGCTTAGGATTCCGTGTTTCACGGTTAGGGTTGGGGTTTAGGGTTGAGGCTTTATAGGGTGCTTCCTGTTTCTGCGAGTTGTCGTCTTCGTATTCGGGTTCGGGGAGGCTTAAGCCTAGGGCCCAAGTTGCTTAGACCAAGATCATCAAGCGCATCTTTGCAAAGAACTGAACTGCAGACCTTCAGCCCTATAAGACCCAAAACAATAAACCCAAAGCTCTGGACTGTACAAATTAGGACCGAGTTCAGAGATGGAGAAATAACATATCTATGGAGGCACCTGTGTGGATAATCTGGGATGGCACCCAAAACCACACGGTACTCCCTGTAATCTTTGAGGTACCTACGGTGCTTCGATGCAAGGTCCGACTTCGAGGATCAGGAAACGGTTTACGGGTTTCGGGTTTAGGGTTCAGGGGGTTAGGGTTTAGGGTCCCTAAACCCTGAACCCTAAACCCTAAACCGTTTAGGGTTTAGGGTTGGGAAGTCTGGGATCGAACCTCAGCCACAAAACTTCACCTGAAAATCCTGAACCCAAACTCGCAACCCTCTAAACACTAAACCCTAAACCCCTAAACCCGAAACTCTAAACCCCTAAAACCCTAAACCCCTAAACCCGTATAAACCCTAAACCCAAATGCGACCCCGAAGGTCACCAGCCTTTCCCCAATCACAAATCTGAAGCCCGCAGTCGATTGATGCCCTGCTTTGGGCCCTGAGATTGTCCAAGGGTTTAGGGTGTAGGGCTGAGGGTTTAGGGTGTAAGATTTCCTGCTTCGGGTGTAGGGTTTAGGGCTTAGGGTGTAAGATTTAGGGCTTAGGGTGTAGGGCTCAGGGCTTAGGGTGTAAGATTTAGGGCTTTGGGCTAAGGGTGTAGGGTTTAGCGTGGGTTTTGGGCTTAGGGTCTAACCGCACACTCCCCTCAATCCAAAATCATTAAACCAGAACCCTCCCCTCCCCAGGGGCAGCCCTACCTCAATTCCGGAACCCAAGGAAAACCGCAGACCACCTATATACACCCTAAACCCCAAATCCTAAACCCACCCTGCCTGCTCATGGTGATTGTAGGCTCTGAGCGCCGGGGTCGGGGCATGGATCCTTGGAAGTTCGGGCCAAAAAAGTTCAGGAGAGAGAGAGAGAGAGAGTGTGTGTGTGTATATATATATATATATATACACATGTAGGTGCATCATGCGTTCATGCATGCGTGCGTGCGTGCGTGCGTCAGTTTCCTTTTTCTATACAGGTACTTATATCAGTTTCTGTGTATGTACATGTGCATGTGTATCTGTATGTGCCTGTGTATGAAATTATAATGATCAATGTATAATATTGAACCCGGACCATGTATCATATTGTACCTACACCCACATATCCCTCTATATATATACACACATATATATATATATATGAATGCATATAGGTGTCTTATACAATTAGACAAGACACGTAGTGTTTAGGGTCATGGCAGCCCTGTGCAACCAACGAATCGGGCATCGCCTGCACTCAAGCCCCTAGATCGTGGATCTTCGATGCCAAAGACTGCTTCAGGAATCAGGGGAGCTTAAGCAAGGCAACTAAAAATATACTTATCTACCGGGTACATGAATGATGATAGCCTCACATATGCTCCTCTGAACCTCCAAAGGTTCATTTTCCAGGTTCCTTCTTTAAGGGTTGCTTTTTCAGGCTTCCTTGAAGGGTGAGATAGGGTGTTTTTCGGGCCAAAAGCATTGTTAGTCAAAACGAGCCTATCTGGGCCAGATAAGGTGTTTTGGGGGCAAAAGAGCTTTCGAAAGCACATTGAGTCAAAACGAGCCTATCTTTGTCAGATAGGGTGTTTTTTTGGTGTCAAAGGAGCCAAATAGGATTAGGATGCCCGTGTGGGTGCCAAAAAAGTGTTTCACCAAAACGAGACTATCTCAGCTAGATATGGGGGTTTCCGAAAAGAGGGGACCCTAATTTTGCACCCTAAATAGTAGGATCCTTATTATAAGGACCCCTAAATAAGGTACCCCCTATTTTCGGAAACTCCCATATGGTGTTTTGGGGGATTAAATCTTGTGGGTGCCAGAAAGGCAGTTTTAGCAAACCACCCATCTGAGTCAGATCGGGTGTTTTCGGTATCCCAAAACCCAGAACGTCCTGGAAGTATGTGCTAAAAATGCCAGTCAGCAAAACTAGCCTATCTGAGTCAAAACGGTGTCCCCTATCTTTTTTGCGGGTTTCCGCGAGTCTCGAGTATCGCAGCCTAGAACAACATGGGGCCAAGGGCTGGGTCGCTAAATCGGCTTAATTTGGGACGACTGCGGTCGCTAATTTCGGAGATTTTCGGGGTGGCGTCGCGTGACGTCGCCAAAATTTGCACGGTTTCTACCCTAAACCCTAAACCAGAAACCCTAAACCCCCAAAACCCTAAACCCTAAAGCCCTAAACCCTAAACCTTTCTAGGCGGTGCAAGTCAGGACACCCCAAAGCTTCCAAGGCGTCCCTGAAGGAGAAAGCCGCTGCCCAGCGCCCGGCCGCCAAGCAAACATCCATGGCGCCTGGGCATTCCAAGAGGCTCCAGAAATATTTAGGGCTTCGGGCTTAGAGGCCGTAACATTTAGGGCGAACTTGCAAGATCTATAATCATACGACTTGTCCTTCGGGCTTAGAGGCCGTAACTGGAACAGTGTGTTGCAGCGTTTAGGGTTTAGGGATGTTTCGGGTTTTAGAAGGATCAAGTTCAGGGGACTATAGTGCCCCATCATACCAGGATAAACTATCTCATGGGGTTTACCTGGAAGCGAAAAAGCCCGCTCTTTTTACGGAACTATGTATAGGAACCATAACACTGAAAAGGTCTTTTCGGCTTAGGGTGCAGGATCGAAGGTTCTTTTAACAATTCTCAAGCCGGTAAATGTTAGACAAGGTTTTAATGCCATAATGACTAGAACAGGATGTTGTCGGTTTAGGGTTTGGGGAATAAGGTTTTAGAAGGTTGCAAGGCCACGAGACGCCAATATCCCGTCGAACAAGGGTTCCACTTTCAGAGACTCTAGTATAGGGTTTAGGGTTTGGGTTCCACTTTCAGAGTTTACGGAAACTCCGGCGGGTTCCGGCCACATGTTTGCTAGGTCATTATCGTGCTTCTGTGGGCATTAGGGCTGTGGGGGTTAGTTGGAGCTTTAGCTTTTGATCATGGGGTTCAAGACTGTTGCAAGGATTTCCCAGGTTCTGTCGGTGCCCCTAAACCCTAAACCCTAAGTAGGTACTATTTAACGGGATGTTTGGACTAGTTAACAGTTATTCCGACCCGCACAGTGCCCGAAAGTTTCGCTGGTCTGTATGGCCAGAGAAAATACTTGGGCCGGTGTAATAATAGACAGTGACACAATTCCTTCTACGGCTTCCCCATGTAAACACCATGTCTACCTTAAAGATCGCCTTAAAAGCCCAATGTGAACTCTACCGAGGTCACTATGTAACCCCCCCCCCCCCCCCCNNCCTAAACCCTGAGCCCCTAAACCCTCAACGCCTTAACTCAAAGCCCTGAGCCCTAAACCCCTAAACCCTTAATCAAACCCTAAACCCTTAACTTAACCCCTAAACCCTAAATCTCCTAACCCCTAAACCCTTGCCGTTTCTGGTTTGAGGGTCTAAACGGCTCTAGAGCTGAACACTAGGAGTTGGGGTTTCGGGCTTAGGGTTTAGGGTTTAGGGCTCAGGGTTCAGGGTTTAGGGTTCAGGGTTTAGGGTTGAGGGTTGAGGGTGTAGGGGTGTTCAGGGTGTAGGGTTAGAGGTTCGGGGTCAGGGGTTCCGGTGTTTGAGTTAGCGTTCCCTAAACCCTAAACCCTAAACCCTTAGGGTTTTGGGTTTAGAACTTCCTGACCTGGCTGTCGGGGTTCTTACAACCTGACACATCGCTAAAACTCATGCCCGGCCCTACCAAAAAGAGTCGAAACAAATTGGCAACAGTGTAGCAGTATAGTCCTTGTACCATGATAGAATATACCAAGAATATTCACACTAACCACATCTCATCAATGATCAGTGCATCAAAGCGAAAATGTATCCAACCCCAAAATCCTAGGCCCTAAACCGTCCCAGACTCCCAAGACAGCATTGATTTGCGAGGTGCCGTAAATGGACACCTCATCGGCTACCAGAGACTTCTTGGGCAGTGCCTGGAGCAAAATTGAAGAATTGTAGGGTTGATGGGTTTAGTGGTTTAAGGCTTCGGGTTGAAGGGTTTCGGGTTTTAGGTTTAGAGAGTTTTGGGGTTCATTTAGGGTTTAGGGCTTCAGGGTTTAAGGGTTTAAGGTTTGCGGCTTTAGGTTTCATGGTTTACAGGCCTCTTTATGAACACACTTCCACAGTAGGTATCTTTAACGGAGCTGTGCTCATTACCCATCTCTATCTGGTCAGCGTAAGATGTACAAATTAAGGATCAGGTTCGGGTCAACACTCTTCTAAAACAGCTGTATGTACCTTTCACGGGACCCTGGGAAGGAACAAACCCGCACCTTTCGAAGTTGAAATGCATTCACGGCCAGCGGTTTGGGGTGCAGGGGATCCTTGCTGGCACATGGATGACCCAGTGTATACGAGTATTCCCTACCCTTGAGCAAAGACCCCTCGCGTCCGGATGAGAGACTGCCACAGAAAGCCCTAATTCTGCACTCCCAAGTAGATCATAAACCCTAAACCTTGAAAAAAGGTCCAGGCCTGTGGGATCTTGGCACTTCGGCGGTACCCGAACATTCGCCACACGCGATCGAATGCCCAACCATTGGAGTTTAGGTTTTAGGGCTTCGAGACCATGTTGGACAACTGTAACCAGCAAACACCTAGCGAAGCCAACTCCTAAACTAGAAATCCCACAACTCCAAACTAATCACCGTAATTACAAGCTCTTAACACCAATACCCCCTAATATAGAAGACTAAATAATTACCAATATTATTCTTAAGGTTCCTAATTGTAATTATATAGTATAATGGGTCCCCAAACCCTATTCTAATCATTAAGGCCTCTATATTACGATGCAACAAAAAGCTCGGATCGTAAACGCTGTTGATTTCCGAAGGATCTTGCTAGAGGCCGCCCGTCGGGACCCTCAACGAAACAAGCCCAAACCAGAAAGCATACGCCGCACACCCTAAACTAACGAGAAAAGCTGAAACCCGAAACACCGTGGCAGCAAGAACATCTCAATTTTCCGAATCTAGAACACCCCTACCCCCCCGCCTCTCCAAGAAAACCGCAACAAAACACTGAAATAAGCAGCCTGAAGCACCGCCAGAGCCGGACCTTGTCTGAAAAGGTTCCCCATTCAGCGGGTTCTGAGGAATTGGCATGAAAAGGCATGCGACTCGTGTAGCTACTGAAGCGACAAGCAAAGGTCAATCGAAGTCTCTCGAAGTCAAAGGTTCGATACGTACAACATTCCTTCTGCCCACGCAGGCATACTCAGAGTTCCCAAAGACTCCAATATACCTTAATTAAGGTACATACCTTAAATTATGGTAGGATTAAAAATATGCTTTCAGGCATATTCCTTAATTAAGGGATATATTGGAGTCTCAGAGTTTATGGTGCCTGCAGACCCCGTCTCGCAGTGCACGACGGAATGTCGGGCAAGTGGCGCCAACTGCTGGAGGACTCCATGGCCTTAAGAGCCACGTTCATCATGATGAGGTTCACCTGCTTTGGGTTTAGGGATTAAGGTTCAGGGTGTGCTGAGGTTCGCCTGCTTAGATGACGGAACGCTAGATTTTCCAAGAATACCTGAATATGACCAGTTATCAGCCATGTAGGCATATGAAGCCAGGACGTACTATAAGATAAGGGCTCTTCAGGGGCCGGGACCCAGGACCCTGAGCCCTGAACCCTAAACAAAAAACTTTCCTAAACCCTGAAATCCCTGAAAACTAAACTTTCCTAAACCCTGAACCCTAAACTTTCCTAAACCTTGAACCCTACACCCTCAACTTTCCTGAGCCCTATAAACCCCAAACCCTCCCGGAGCCCAGACCCTAAACCCTAAACCCTCAACCCTAAACCCTAAACCCTAAACCCTCAACCCTAAACCCTAAACCCTAAACCCTCAACCCTAAACCCCAAACCCTGGCCTTCACGCCGTGCATGGCTAAGGAAGTCAGGGAGCGAAGAGTCTCCGACCAGGGCCGAGTTTTCGCGGGGTCCTTTGAGGAGAGTGGGAGGGCCCAAACCCTTAACACGAACCCAAAGGCCCAAAGAGAGAGAGAGAGAGAGAGATACATATATATATATATGTATATATATATATATATATATGTATATATGTATGTATACTGTGTATATATATATATATATGTATACATATAATATATATATATATACATACATACATACATGAATGTAATTGTATATTTACATATATATATATATTCATTTATTT